GGAGTCCATGGGCAGGCGTTGACTAATACCCAAATCGATCAGCTTCAGGCGGCCCTGCACCAGCACAAAGTTCTCCGGTTTGAGGTCCAGGTGCACAATTCCTGCGGGGGGCGGGCGGGAGGACAACAAGGTGAGCATTTGCAGAAAAAAAAACAATCAAGGAAAAGAAGGTATTCCTAATGTTATGACCCCATCCGGTATACTTGTAGCCGACGCCCAACATTGTCTTGCCCGGCGTCCTTGTTCAAGGCCAGCTGCCTCAAGATCAGCTAACACCTTAGTCATCGGTTTCAGACGCGCTGGCCTGCAGAGGTTTGACTTCCACTCGGACACACACATACACGTGCGTTCAGGTTGTCGCGGCAGCCCAAGCGCTACTTTAACATATCCATTTTTTCCCAACCTCGACCGACAGAGCCTAAGCCACCAAACACGACACCCTTAGGGTAATGTCATTCACACCAATTGGAGAACACTTGTGCCTGCTCCGCAATCCTACTTAAGCAGCTGCCACCACTGTCTAATTCCCTCTCAGGTCTGGCTGGGCGCAGTCTACACTAGCCCTGGCTTCGCCAGCGGTCACTATCGCCTATTCTGTGCACAACAAATCCCTCGCACAGGTAACTTCCGCCTTTTACCGTCTACCTGAGATTCGGCCTGATGATTGTAGTGATCTAGGTATTCCCCCACTACTTAGACCGCTACATACTCACTCGACTGTCATCGCAACACGAAAGGCAAATAGAGACCACTTCGGTGTCACGATTGTATGTTACAACATCCTGCAAGTCTTCCTCACTGCAAAAGCTGAGTGAATTCATAGCATCTCGTTCGGGTTAGCTAATGTTCTTTCAAACCCGCAAATCCATTCATAAACTTTAATCAGCGTGACATTACTGTCAGGTCATTCAATAGAATCGAAGAAACGAATTCCAGAAGGCCATAGTTAAGAAGCAGACGGACCGCTGGAAAGGAAACTTTCTTCTCCCCGAGGTTTCAAAGCCACGCTCGACTCCATCACCAGAAGCACTACACCAGCGAGTGAATAAACATTGGAGTGCACGGGAAGGCGGCTTACACTATAAGGCGCACACAAAAGCCATTGATTTTCTCAAAAACGACAGTGCGTCTTATAA